TTTTTTTTAATTTTTGGTAATGTGCTGGAAAAGCTTGAAAATGGACTTTGAAAGTGCTTAAAAAGTACCTGGAAAAATGTGTAAGAACCCTGTTAATCCAGCATAAAAAAACCCGACAACATACGTTTGATGTTTTTAAGTGGGGTTTGTGAAAGCAATGGGTGAAGCAGTTTACTTGCTTCGTGAGCGTCGTGTGTGTTGCTCGGGAGAAAAGGCTATCACTGTGTTGGAGAGAGGAGTGTGACCTGCTTAATTTGTGTGTGTGTGTCTGTGTGAGTGCACTTCTGTGCTCTTCAGGTGAAATGAGAAGACAGCATGACAGTATCAAGGGTGAAGCATTTCCAGGGTTTTGTGTTTATGCTTTCATCTCCCTCTCTCACCCATCCTCCTGCACTCTCACACGTTCTGTTGTTTTTCGGCTTTGTCTCTTCGCTCTCCTCCCCTGTGTCTCTGTCACGGCATATCACTTTGGCTTTTTTTTCTTTTACATGCCATTTCCTCATACTTCTGTATCTTCTTTTTGCTTCCCTCTCTAACCCTCCCTGCCTCTCCTCCAGATAATGACAGAGAGAAAGACTGCCAAAGCGATGGCAGGAGGCTCCCTCCATGACAGGATGCAGGCAGGACTCGATCTCCCTTTACAAGGTAGGCTTCATACATTACACAAAGCAACTCCTTGTCTGTCTGTGTGTGTAAGAGGGAGTAAATGTGACAACTGTCTTGCGTCAATAGACGCACGGGGAGTTATCATTTCTGTGGCACTGAGGATGCGTCCAAACTGGCCATTTGGGAGACTGAATGTGTCAGAAAATAGCTGGCTTTTTATCGTAATGTCCTTTTTAGTTAATGAGAATTTATAACAAGATGATTTAGGAGAGATTTATTATTGCAGTCTTGAATTTTGACAGGGGTTTAATGCGTTTTCTTTTTCATAAAATTTGCTGCCTCCTTCTCCATCATTCGACCAGTGCTGCTACTGCTCCTCGTGCTTCACGCCTACCAACTTTCAATCAGTGCACTAGAGAGAAACCTGCACCAAGTGTGATAGTAACGATCAAAAACGCCACAGGTTGCCTAGCAGTTCTTTCCACTTGACAGATTTAGAGGTTTGTGGTCCAGTGCAGTTCATCATCTCACCTTTAGATTTACAAAAAAGGAGGAGAAGTTTAAAACATTTTTTTAAATGTCCGACAGATGGTAAAAATAGACTCTGTGCTTCTGTTTTTTAGTCAGTTTAATGAGAGATGTGACGACGAGCATCCGCTTCCTGTCATAACTCACTCTGTTATCTCCTGTCACCTGTCAGTCTTTCTAAGAGAGACGACGTTAGCTGTGCTGAACTAATCACTGTG